AGAGACCCAAAGACCAGCTTGCTGGTGGAAGGCACACTCGGCTCAAGGTTGACTCAGCCTTCCATCTTTCTGAAGTGGGTGAAATGAGGACCCAGACTGTGGGGACAATTTGCTGATTCAATTTGCTAAAAATCTGTAAACCGCTTAGAGAGGGCTGAAAGCCCTATGAAGCGGTATATAAGTCTAATAAATAAATAAATAAATAAATAAATTGGTTTTGAAAGGTAGTTGAATTTCCAGTGATTTCGAAAGATAGGAGGAAAAAGCAAATTTGACCTAAGTATTCCAAAGTAGGCATGTTTTCGGCATATCTATGACTTCAATTAAAGATAAAGGTTCCCCTTGCACATATGTGCTAGTCGTTCTCCGTTCTAGGGGACGGTGCTCATCTCCCTTTCAAAGCTGAAGAGCCAGCGCTGTCCGAAGACGTCTCCGGGGTCATGTGTCCAGCATGACTAAATGCCAAAGGCGCAGGGAATGCTGTTACCGTGTTTCCCCAAAAATAAGACCAGGACTTATCTTCTTTTGACTCCCGAAATAAGCACTTGGCCTTATTTTCAGGGAGGTCTTATTATTTTTGAGGTGCAGTAGGCGGTGAGTGTGGTCACCTCATGGCTGTTGCTGTATTGCAATATTTCTTGAAGGGCTTATTTTGGGGGGTGGCTTATTTTAGCGCATGCGCTCAACAGCCTGATTGGGCTTATTATCTGGGGAGGTCTTATTTTTGGAGAAACAGGGTACTTTTCCACCAAAGGTGGTTCCTATTTTTCTACTCGCATTTTTTACATACTTTCGAACTGCTAGGTTGGCAGAAGCTGGGACTAGTAATGGAGCTCACTCCTTTACACAGCGCTAGGGATTCAAACCACCGAACTGCCAACCATTCTGATCGACAAGCTCAGCATCTTAGCCACTGAGCCACTACGTCCCTGATGACTTCTATTACATCTACAATAAAGCCACTAGGTTGTGGCTGTGAATTTTTTGCTATGAGAAAGTTCCTGGACATGGGGTGAAGTATCTGCAGCACTGCAGGAATTTTAACACATGTTAAAGTTCTTCAACTCTCAGAATTCCCAGGCAGCAGTAAAGGAACATGACCTTGATAGAGATTTCCTATATCCGTTTGTAGCGCAACTGATTGGTGAAAAGTATCTTCAGTTCTTAAAAAAAATTATGAGTGGCTCAAACACACACACTCCAATTCACTAAACTATGAAAGGTGGAATAGACAGTACAAATATACTTGCATAATTCTATTATTATGGCCAATCTCAGTTTAAAAAAATGCAGTCATTCTCTGAAGTTGATTCCTTGGTCTGGTCTACATGATGGGGTGGCAGAAGGAAACCCACATGGAAAAGTGATGGAGGAAGGAAGAGGGAAGGAGACACTTAGCTAACCAGCCAGATCAGACAAATCAATGGAATGACAGATGTTGCAGCCAGATTGCCCGTCACCTCCCATTGCTAATCTAAGAGCCTCACTGGCAGTGGCAAACACCATAGCAATGGAGTTCACCTTTCCCCCTTCCGATAAATTAGTCAGGAGGCAGGAAAATCCAATGTAGGTCATGGCCAGCCAAGGCAAGGGGTAGACAGATGCTTCCATTAATCTCCTTTCATCAGTAAGCCCTGCTTGCTCACTTTCCTGGACTCTCATCGGAAAGACCAAAGCAACTTCTGCGGCATTGTGTCACCCTTTGTTAAAGCACTAATTGCATTTGATGACCATAATTTTGCCTTTGACACAACTAAAACACAGAAGACAAAACTAATCTTGTCTTTAAACGTGATAAATTTCGGTTGCATTCTGGTTCTTGTTCACTGCAAACGTCTGTCAAACGTCTGCTTTAGCTTACTTCATTTGATAAAGAAGGAATCTTTCTTTGTTAGAAGCCTTCGGGCAAGAATGTTTCTGCCCTTATTGTCAGGTATCTAGCATCCAGGGAGACTTCATCTGCCTTAAGGTGTAAATTAATGGAAAGTTCTGACTTTTGTCCTTGAAAGATATCTGAAAATGCTCAGAAGCCTGGAGATGGCTTTGCTGTTATAATCATTCATAGTAGGCAATGTTTTGAGTACGGTTTCTTGTAATATTGTTATCTATATTTTTTTGGAGGGGGGGTGGGGTTTCCACAAGCACAGGTACAGTATAGGTGGTACCTTGCTCAATAGTAGTAACTGTGAAAGGGATCTTGGAGTCCTAGTGGACAACCATTTAAATATGAGCCAGCCGTGTGCAGCAGCTGCCAAAAAAGCCAACATAGTTCTAGGCTGCCTAAACAGAGAGGGATAGAATCAAGATCACGTGAAGTCTTAATGCCACTTTATGATGCCTTGGTAAGGCCACACTTGGAATCCTGCATTCAGTTTTGGTCACCACAGTTACTACTATTGAGCAAGGTACCACCTATACTGTACCTGT